TGTGCTTCACACACAGCATGAGTAAAACAGTGACCATAATTTCAGAAATGTGGCAAGACAACTCCCTCTAAAAAAAGCCCATGACTGAGGTCTATATTTAGTGGTCAACATTAGCTGGATGTTTCTGTGACCTGCACAGTGGGATACTTGGCTGGGGAAGCCAGCATCAAATCAAAGTTCAACGCTACAGAACTCTCAACTCTCCGCAAACATGGCCATTCTGGTCCACTAAATTCCCAAACATTTCCCTACAAAACAACTGGCAGAGGGTGGCTGTGTTTTCATCCTTTCCTCTTCTAGCTCTAAATTAAGCCAGATTCAATCTTCAGTAAGAGTGATTCCCTTCAACAGATGCGAGGATGCTGACGGAGCAGGACAGCAGACACCCCATTCTTGTCTGCAGCACAAACAGAAAGAGGATTGCTTGGCAGTTCAGAGAGCTGCACTTTACACCCACTCACCAGGCAAGCTGCCAGCTTTGCTAGGGGATGGAATTAAACCAGGGTTTAAGCAGGCAGCCTGACCTCAGGAGAGCAATCTCCCAGACACAGAGTGCCTCTTCAGTCATCCCAAGTGCCTCAGTGGAGCCCTGTCTCCAGAGACAGAGCATGTAAACAGCAGTGCCTGAGGAACAGAAGATCCTGCATGAGGTGGCACGAGAGGTGGCCAGGCATGAGGTGACACTGCAGCAGCACTGATTCACCCAGCCCCACGCTCATCAGAGCACTGCTGCAGCAGAGGTGAGCAGTGCTGGAGGGCACACAGAAGGACACTGCTGTCCACAGGGTCCTGGGGGACAGCAGGAGGCACGTACACAAGATGCAGAGTAGCATCTAAAGGCTCTGTGTCAGAAAAAGGGTGATGGTGCAGCCAGCACAGCACATCACAGCCCAGCAGCCATAGCTCTATTGATCACAAGGACTTTCTACACAGCAGCAACACAAGGCTGTCATTACCTGGCTCTCAAGACCAGCCCAGGGTGACTGATCACTAACCTGAGAAGCATTTGTTCTGCCACCCATGCCTTAATCCATGTGCACAAGAAAAATCTGCACTGCAAGGACTCTGTGTTCTTTGTCTCCAGGTGATACAGTCATCGCTGCAGAAATATTTTTGGTGAGTCTGTACCAGGTGACTGAGCAAAGCATTTGTCTCAGCTCATCCCAAACTGGTGAGTATAATCAATCTACCTGTTACCAAAGTGTAGAAAGCAGACCCTCAGGTAACATAGGCTGAGCCAGAAACGTCACAGCACAGGGTCTCGTGTGCCTTTAACAGCTGTGTTGCTGCAACCAGTCCATCCCACCCATCCAGAAACTGGGGGGCTAAAACCTAACACAAAAACCACCTGATCTCCACTCAAGCACAGTCATAGCTAGGCTGCTCTAAGAAACAAGTTCAGCTCACAGTGCACAACTAGGGAAAAATCTGTCAGTAAAAATAATCCTTCTTATTTCATGCAGGAAAATGCTTTCTAATATCCAAAGCATGACACGTCCAGATTCAGCAGATTTTCTGCCCTAGCACCAACACAGCCACATATGAAATATTCAGCTGACACCTATTCAATCTGAGGCAGCTGGCACAGAACAGGGAGGGAAAGACACCCAGAATCTCCCACTGCCCAAAGATCTTAGCTATGTATGCAGGAACTTCTGCCTAGTGCTGGAAGAAATTTTCTGGCACACAGTGCTCCCAGGATCTGACAAGTCCAAGGGTTCCCTTCCTACCATTCAATCTCCTCAGCTCATCAAGTGGTCTCTGATCACAGATTTAATGTCCTGAGACCCAAAGGAAACCAAAGCAAGCCCCACACACCAGAGCACATGTGCTAAGCTTTTCCTGTCAATGAACACGAAGAGTTGAGCTGATCCTGAGTCGTGGAGACCAGTTTTCCAAGAAACTTTATTTCTATACCAAGTCCTCCTTTGGCAGAAACCATCATTTGTTGTTACTAATTTGCACCTTAAGGAACAAGGGCTCATTTGGCTGTTGTCAGAGTAAAAGGATTTCTGGTACCCAGATGTCCCTCTGGAGCACTCTGCTCCTCTTTGCTGCAGACTGGGGACCCCAGCCTGCCAGCTGAGGGGTCAGGTAGTGCTCAGCAGCAACTAATATACCCCACACAGGGTGGAACACAGCTTTTACTGTCTGCCAAACACCTCCTGTGCCTAGGAAAAACCCACACCACAACTCCATACTGACACTAAATAGACAGCACTTTTAGAAATGTGGTTTAGTAAGATTTATCCTCTTTTTGAGCAGGGGTTCTTGCATTAGGCTCCTAAACTATTAACATCACCTCTCATTAATATGAGAGCACATATAATGGGAATATGCATATTTCATTTTGTGAGCCATTCTCATGTACTGATGCTGTACTAAGGACTCCAGCAAGGGGATCTATAAAAGTCCAGTTGCTGCACTTTTATGGATTAAACTTTCATCAGAATCCTTTATTCCTAGGAAGTTTCTTATTTTGTCATTATTTATGAACCAGTATCACAAAGATCTGTGAAATGAGAAGGAACACAGCAATTTTTCCCGGATTTGAAGGATGAATTAAGGGTGAGAGCTGCTCGTCAGTACTAAATGTCAGTACTGCACGTGTTTGTCTGGAGCAAATCTAGCCTTACATCAAAAATCTCACGTTGTGAGAGGTCTGGCTAACATGAGTTTTTAACCAGGAAAACGTAAATGAAAGCATCATTGGGTGTAATCACTCGCTTAAAGCCACTGTGGTTTTGGTAACCATTTCCTTGTGTGCAAGAAACACACGAGTAAAAGTCAGAGTCACTGTTGACAGGCAGTGCAGAGGAAGGGAGGACACAAAATGCAATGACAGACAAAGCTACAGGGCAACAATAAGTTTCACAGGAAGTATTTTTTTCCCTTTTGCTCTATGTTGTAATGCAAGGCTAAACATCTTCTACTTTAGAAAGCCTACAAGTAAGGATTCAATTAACTGCAAATATGGTATTGTTGAGGATAAATACACATGCAGCTATGAATGAAGCTCCTGATCTGGTATCAGGGGAGCAATGTGAGTAGTTGTCTTTTCCACAAAGCAAAGGTGGGCAGAAGCCAGCCTTCCACAGACCTGCACTTTTACCTTTGCAGATAATTTACTCTCACACAACCCCTAAGCAGACACAGAGCAAGACCAAACACTCAGACACACTAAACACACAACATATGTGGGTTAACTGTGACAGACTGTCTGGTAATAGATCACCTCCCACCAGAGGAGAGTCCACACCCAATGCCCCCTAAATAATCTCATTTTCTCTGAGAAATCAAATTACCCAGGTCATACAAGGACTCTATGACAAAGCTGGTAACTAAGCACAAACCTGGGCATGCCTTGAGCCCTGGACCATTCTTAAGTTCCTGTTTTGTGGTATCTGACATAGCTTCTTGCTAAAATCTCACCAGACTACACTGCTAAACACAGAATTTGATAAAGCTCATCCCAAAAGGAGAAAAACACATTTCTATAATTGCAACAGTGATGAAATTGCTCCTTTTGCAGAAAACGTCTTTTGAGTTGCTTCCTACTCAGCAGTAATTTGAAGCAGGGAGAGGAATCTAACAAAAGTGTTGAAAGATCTCAGTAAGCATAAATACTTCATACAAATGCTAACTATGGAGTGCAGGAGCAGCCAGTCACTCTCTCAAGTGAAAAGTTATTAAGCAAATTAGGAAGGTACAGAGAATGAAAAGGAAAAAAAAAACCAACAACAAACAAAAACATCCAGACCATGAGACCTAGTGCTCCAAGTGGGCTGAGCCCACAGGAAGCTTTCCCAGCTACTCTGCAGCGCTCATCAGCCCAAAGGCTGCTCTGCCTGATGAGCTCAGGAGCAGAGCACAGCTATCCAAGGAGATTTCCCAGCAGCAATTCTGCTCCCCAGGGCAGCCCTGCAGAGCCCCCGCTCCGGCAGGGAGGGACCCAGGGCTGTCCCAGCTCCGGGGCTGCGGCACAGCGGGTGACACCGGGTGACAGCGGCGGACTACAGCACCCAGCAGGCACCGCCGGCACTCACCGCCGGGGCTGACGCGGAGCCACCGGAGCCAATCCACGGCACAAGGAGGAAATGTCAACAAACACGGCGGCCTGCGGGACGCGTGATACCGGCGACAGGGCAGGACACGGCCGATAAGCCACGCCAGGGCCGGCCGGGGGTGGTCACACAGCGGTCACCCACCCTGGACTGCAGCCTTTCAGCACCGCCTGGACCGCAGCCCCTCATCCTCCAGCACCGCCTTTCCATCCCGCAGCGTTATTTGTTAAAAAGCGTTCACAAACGGCAAAGAAAACTTGCCCCGTTATCAAGAAGGATTTAACAAATAATCAAGGGGGAAAAAATAAATTTAAAACTGGATGGTTCGCGTTTCGCAGCAGATCGGTTTTAGCCCCTCTAGATTAGATTGTCGGGGCTGGCTTTGAAGGAAAAATGTCTGCTGCAATTTTTAACACTTAACACTTAGTGACGACCACAAGGACAACAGAAAAAATGCAAATTAAAATCCTCTGGAGCTAAGACAATCATATGCTACAAAGTCATGCTTGCGCTATTTTCGCATGGCCAATGAAAAAGAAATTTTCTCAGGGAGTGTATCCAGACCAGAGAAATAAAATAAAGAAGTGGGCATGCCAAAAATAACTACTAATTTTATTTCTAACATTTTGAGAACTTAAAAGCTTCCAGCACAGACGTATTCACCACACTGCATTTCACTGTGTAACACCCTGGAGCAGAAGCTCCCACCTCAACTCCCAATTGCACATGAGTTGTCTGGTCCAGCCAACAACTAACACATGATCTGCTGTGTTTGTTTATCTTTCCATAACTTATCAGAAGGCTTTCTCTCCCCCCCACCTCCCCCCACCCCGAGTACACATCAGAATACAAACACTCGTTAAAAAGTGAAATTTCACAAACGCCATTCAACTTTTCCCAAATTTAGAATGCTTTGACATAATTGAATGTATTTACCTGGAAGTCATACAAGGCAACAATGTTTTCATGTTTCAATTCCTAGAAAAAGCAAAAAAAAAAATACCATAAGCTAGGAGCAACAAAGGGCATATAGAATAAAGACTGAAGAAAATAAGCCAGTCTTCCTTTACCTTAAGAATTTTAATTTCCTTGCCTAGCAGTGTTTGTGATTTCGCAAGGTTCTTCTTGTTAATACATTTCACAGCTACTTCCAGCTCAGGTTTCTGAAACAGTACATAAATAACACAAACAAATGTAAATTTCACCATTCATTCACATTAGGATAAGCAGCCTCTTAACAGATTACAAATCCTACTGAAAGAAGTGTCTTGCAGCACCGGTAAAGGCCTCTCACTTCACATCCTAATGCCTTCTCCTTACTTGTTCAGACTTGCCCTTTCCTGAATTATGCTTGTCAGCCCAAGGAGAAAAGCCCAAGGTTTAGGTTTTTGTTACTACTTCATACAATGATTATCCTCTTATTTAATCACTAGAAATAAATGCACTGTGGGAGCCGTGGCTTATCCCAAGCACTAATGATGGAAAATCCACTGCCGGATTGGTTTCCTTTTATTTACCAGTAAGAGATTTCTCCTCCTCCTTGAAAAATTAAGTGGAGAAGGAGAAGACTTCACAGACACAAACACACAAAAATCCCAAACAAAGTAAAGAGTTCTTTTCATAGATAGTGTGTAGGGATTTTTTTCTCCCTTGTTTTGGAGGTGGGGACGGGTTTTGAGTGGATCTGGGAGGCAGCTGACGGCCTCCCAGCCCCAAGGTGAAGCCACCTGCCCGGCTCCTGCCGGGACACACACCTGCTTGGAAGAAACTCCGAGGCGAACAATAATAAATAAAAATAAGCACCCCAAGCCCGGGGTGATGCCCAGGCTGGCAAGAGCCGCCGCTTGCGGCGGGGATGCGGCGACCGGGGCGCGCTGCCCCCACCTCGGCCCAGAGCAGGAAATAAATAAATAAATGAAAAGCAGAAGCGGGGAGGGTGGAAATAAAAAGCAGGGATTCTCACCTCTTTGTGCCTGCCTTTGAAGACGACGGCGAAGGCTCCGTGCCCGATCAGGTCCTTCCTGCTGAACTCAAACTTTCCCACCGTCTCCATGGCGCTGCGCCGGGGGGTCCCGGGGGCCGGCGGCGAGGCTGCGGCCGGGACGGCTTCAGAGCTGCAAAGGGACGAGGAGGAGGAGGAGGATGGCGGTGATGAAGGAGCTGCCTTTAAAGAAAATTAAACCTCTCCCAATCCAAACACGACGGGGGTACCCCCCGCCACCGCCCCCCTCGGAGCGGTCGGGAGCCGGAGCAGCCCCGCTCCCGCCGGCCCCGGCAGCTCCGCGCCGGGCTGCGCTGCCCACCTCGCCCTCGTCCATGGGCTGCCTCTTCCTGCCGAGCGGCCGGGAGCCGGGCATTGTCAGCGGCCGGGGCGAAGCTGGCTCCTCAGCAGCGGGCCTCCCCCATCTCCTCCTCGGGCCGGGCCGGCGCGGCTCCTCGGGCCCCGCTTCAGGCGGGGCTCCCCATGCCGAGCCCCGGCCCCCCCGCCGGCAGGCGCGGCTTCGCCGAGAGTCCACCTTAAGCGCGATCCACCTTAACGCCCGGTCCGCCTCACGGCAGCGCTCCACCTTAAGCGCGATCCACCTTAAGGGCCGCCCGCGCCCCCGGCTGTGAGCGCTGGCGGGGCCGGGGTCGCGGGGCCGGGGTCGCTCCGCGGGAGCCGCCGCTCGCTCGGCCGGGCCCGGACAAAGCTGTGCGGAGCGGAGCGGGAGCGCCGGGCGGCGCAGGCGCGATGTGCGGCGGGGGAGGCGGTGGGCAGGCGGGCGGGCAGGCGGGCAGAGCGGCGGCGGCGGCACCTGAGGCGGAGCGGCCGGGCCCGGCACATTTAAAGGCGCCGCCTGCCGAGCGCCTGAGTCAGCGCCGCGCTGCCGCGGCCCCCGAGCCGCCGGCCCGGGAGGGCTCCTGGCAGCCACCCGTCCCGGCCTTTGGGAGGTGACACAACCATGGGATGGTTCTGAGTTGGAAAGGACACACAACGATATTGAAGTGCAGCTCCTGGCCCTGCACAGCAGAGCCCCAATAATCCCACCACATGCCTGAGAGCATTGTCCAAGTGGTTCTTGAGCTCTGTCAGGCTCGGTGGTCGCCACTTCTCTAGGCAGCCTGTTCCAGTGCCCAGCTACCTATTAGCAAAGAACCTTTTCCCAATATCCATCCTGAACCTCTCCCGACACAGCTTCAGGCCATTCCCAGGGGTTCTGTCACTGTCACCCGCAGATCAGTGCCTGCCCTTTCACTTCCCTTCCCAACCCCACAGTTGTACACCACAATAAGGGCTCCTGTCTTCAGGCTGAACAGACCCAACTGATCTTTCAAACAATTAAACAAATGTGTCTGGTTGGGTGAAGTTCAGCCCAGGAGCTGTAAAGTGTCCAGGTGGAGCTGGTCCCAGCATCCCCAGCACCCCTTCCTTTCACCCAGCATAGCCCACCTCCTCCTCCACAGGCTCTGGCTCTTTCCCACTCGCTCCTGTGCCAGGGCACCACGGCTCCTTTTTGGGGAACCAGCCAGGCCTCCAGAAGTGCCCGAGGGTGCCTCCATGGAGCTCTCCTCTGACAGACTCTTCTTGATGTCCTGCTTTAGAGCTCGGCATGGAATCACTGTTGCGATAAGAAACCTTTCCTGGCCGGAGCCTGGTGAGCCTGGTGTGTGGTTTGGCCATCCCATCTCTTGCTGCACAGTGACCCACAAGCTCTGCCCTGTGGGTGTGGGCTCACAGGTCATTCCTTCTGTGGCGGGAACCTCTCACGCATTTGCCCCATCCTCTGCTCCAGGCTGCCCAAATCCACCAGCCCTGGCAGCACCCACACCGCTTGCGCACTCGCTCCTGTTTGTACACTTATCACAACGTCAAACCCCAACTGCAGGGAAAACAACGCTCCCCGTGGGCAGCACCGCTGCTCACACGCTCCCCATGGGCAGCACCGCTGCTCACACGCTCTGCCTGAAGTTTGTTTTTTACCCAACTGCGCGGTATCGACCCAGCTATCGACCTGTGCCAGCGCTGCAGTTCCAAACACGCAGTGCCAGGGTGATGCCAGTGGCTCTGCAGACACCCAGCACACAGGGTGCTGGTGTTGTGACGCTGGGTGGCTGCAGTTATCACCAGTCTCGGCACAAGTCGGGCACAAACAGCACTTCACAGCGTCAGGACACGTTATCTACACAGAGGCAGTGGCTGTCTGATATGCTATCTGGCCCATAGGCTGTTGTCCTTGGTTCCCACATAACTGGTGTTCAGGTACCTTCCTCTGCTTCAAGTTTTAGTGGGAAAATGACAGTGTGAACTAAGTAGCAGTGCCTGGCTGGTAGGGATTGGCATCTCGAATTCCAGCAGTTTAGTGCTTGTCGGGAACTGTGAAAGTGACAAGGATATTCTTCAGTGGGAATCTGAAAACTGACTCTGTTGAAGTAGCCCTTAAACCAAAAGAAGACTAGAGCACCTTTGTAATTTCAGGAGAAATTCATTTTAGAACTCCTTTAAAAAACATACAATATATTTACCTACTTTTCTTTCACACTTCTGTATCATCCACATCTAGAATTTCAGGCCTTTGTCAATGATCATAAGGGTTTAATTTAAAAACTAACACAGAAACCAGTAAAAATGTCAAACATCATCAAAAAATAGTGCTTGGCAAATGCCAGACTTGGGAATTAATTTTACCCCTTGTTAAAAGCCACTGTCTCTAATGCAGAAGGTAACAGTTGAAAAAGCTTAGGCAGGAAGTGAAGAACATGTTTTGAAACTACTTAGATGATTTCTGAGCAGGCAAAATCTTGTATCTGCCTTGGCTGGAAAGCAGCCAGAGCACTCCGGTTAGCAAGTGCACTCTTGCAAGAGCTGTGGTAAAATCTGCAGTGCCCACAGGTGTTTCTGCCTTTCCTTCCCCAGCTCAGCAAAGACATTCAGTCCTGGGTGAAGGAGGAAGTTGATATGACTGCTGTTCAATTAGAGGCCAAAATATCCCACTGATGAATGTCCTTTGTTCTGTACAGAGTGTGCTTATTTGTTCCTTCACATGCTGCTGGTTGTGAAAAAAAAAAAAGTCAAACGTAAGTTAGATTTGACTAAACGTGGGTCCTAAGGCAGCTCTTTGCATGCAGCTGTTTACAGAGCCAGGTGGCAAAGTCAACCTCCTCTCTGCTGACAGTCTGGTTTTGTTTTAGGCAAATTTGTTTTGTTTTTAAGCAGGCTCACTGGGTAGCTTTCTAATGAGTAACAGGACTTCAAGACAGCAGAATGAAAGTCTGTACTAGGATCAGGACCAAGTAGCACTGGATGCCATGGGCACATGAAGCATCACATGCACTTTGAAGGATCAGTTTAACATTTATAGCAATTAAACATCTTTCAATTGTGTGTCTTCAAAAAAAAATAGCTTGGTGAAAGTATTTTGAACTTCTACAAAAATTTAGAAACTTTCCCCAGGACCACTAATAAAATGTAATGCCCCTTGACAGCAAATATGGGTTTGAGATGTTTGGAGTGCACTCTGCAGACACATCTGTTCATTTTGGAACAAAGAGGGCTGAAAAGCTTTTTAATTAAATGTAGGATTCTTCAATTTTATTTTTTTTCTTGTGGTTTGCTGATTAAAAGCTTGTGTTGTATCAATTCTTCCCTGATGTCCAGAATTCAGTGAGAGTATGTTTAGGCCAACATCCAACACATGCAAATTCTGTTCTCCTCCCACAGTCTCCCATTTGCTAATCATGAAAGCACTACTGCCAGCACGTATTCAACTACTTCCTCAGATGGAGGCATTAATCTTTGAGGGGACAGAGTAGAGAGTTCCATTTACTAATGCAAAACATCAGCGGGGGAAGATCCACTGCTGAGATTTACAATGGGTGGAGAATAATATAAGCATACAATACACCCACTGTGGGAAGCCTTGGAATATTGTCTTGAAAGTCTCTTTATAATTTAATGCAATTTTATTCTTTTTTTCTAATTTAAATGTAAAGGAAAGCAATGGTCAAGTGATATCCTGATGACTCAAGTAATGCTCTTTTCCAATACCATGTTTTAATCAGGAGTAATAAATATGGCTGTTTCTACCTCCTGTAATCCAAGAGTGCCATCCTTACCTCTTGGCACAATGTAATTATCTCTGAGCTGGGGAATTGGTTAAAGCTACAGAAGTGTGAGGGAATTCTGTAAGCAAACTCAGAGTATAGATTTATAATAAAGACAGAATAAAGATTTCCATTAGGAATTTTCCATCTTTTCATGATTATTTTCTAGACAGTTCCATCTTCTTAATACAAGCACTTCTGTTGGCCAGCCAGCCATCTTTCCTAAGATCTTGTCTTTGCTTTTCTAGTTCAGCAGCTCCAGCCTGGTGTTCCCCTCAGTGCCCAGTGAGAGATCAGAAGCTTCCCAGCAGGCACCCATGAAGCTGAACCCCTGTGTCTGAAAGGCATGGGGCAATCCTGCCCAGACAGCAACACAAAGAGCAAATTCTTTCCCTTGCTGTGAATCTCTGTTTTGAACTCAGACTTCTGCTCAATACAGAGGGAATCTCCAAGGCCTTCCAGTGTAATATTTTCATTACAGCAACTGCCCCAGGGACACAAGCACTAAGGGACAGGACAGCAAATCAATATTTCTGGAGGAAGTGCTGGATTATGAGGCTTGGGTGCATGAGCAAGATGTGATTGAACATGTTACTGCACATGGGCTGAGCCTTATAATTGGTCCCACGTCTCCTCTTTGTGTGAAATGAGCACTGAAGCCTGAAGATGAGCTTTAATATGTGCTATAGCTCAGTTGTAGGTGTGCTGCTGCTGGGTAATTATTTCTTCACAGAAATGTGTGCTTGAAACTGGATACTTCACAGCCAGAGAAAATAGACAGAGTAGCACAAGGAGGAAAGATCAGAGTTTGAGAGTACATCTGGATGAAAAGCAGACTCTGTACTCATGTGGATTCAAAAATCTGATGCAAATTTAGACATGTTGAGGCAGTTACACATCCGCTTTCCACAACCATCCCAGAGGCTGAGCATAACCACCAGTATCTGGGCAGAGCCAACACTAACCTGAAAGCTGGAATTTTTGCCAGGTTCATCAGGAAGGAGTGAAGGTACTGAATATGCTTGGCTGAAGATCAGTTTGGTGGAAGAAATATGTGGAAGGTCTACAAATATCTGTAAATTTTAAAGGTAAATATTAGCCTGGCATTAATGAACGGAAGGGAAGAAGGGAAGTTATAGGCTGAATTTAATGGAAAATTTAAATTATGTTATTTAGTCATACTGGTTTGTGATGTCTGCTAGTAGGCTGGATTCTGGCTCAGATACAGTAAGGATAAAACAGAGATTACAGTACAACTGCAAATAATTCACCAGGATGAGCAAATTTTGAACACTGCCTTGTTGTGTTGCATTCCTACAGAGGCTGAAGGAGTAGATTAATCTGGAGCTCTGAAAACATCTGCAGATTTACAGCAGCAGTAGAAGTTGTGTCAAGAGTATTGTTCATACCTCACCAGGGACCTGCAGAAACATAATTCCAGCTCTGGTAAAATGCTTTTGTCTTAGGAAAGGAGAGATCCTCCACTCACAACATCAGCTCTTGATCACTGAAATGAGACACTGAATTAAGTGATGGAGTCTGCAATCTGCTCCCTAACTTTCACAGCCAGCTCCCTGCATCACACACAGAGCAGAGTTTAAAACATTTAGGTAACATTCAAACATGGGATAGCACTGGTGGGAGTATTTGAATATTTGAAGTATTAGAG